ATCCTATAGTATGATGGATTGTCGAGTTGAGATACTTCCTGATATTCTTCTCCTTCCTCGTCCTCCTCTCCTTCTCTCTCTCCCACCCTGTGTTGCCTCTAGTTACGACTGCTGTTTTGCTGTTGCTAGGCAACCTGAAGCCACACCCCTCTCATTAGAGAGAGCCGCAAGGTGTCGTAGAGAGTTAGCGGTGAGTGGGTGTGTCATTTGAGGATCTGAAGTGATGTTTTGCTTTTTTAGTTGTCAAGTAAATGTATGTCATCATGTCGAGTCCCTGAATGGACTTTAAGATTATTTGAATTTGTAAGAATTATTATTTTATTTATTTATTTTTATTTATTATTGTTACTTTTCAATATTATTTCAGGATCATTTAAGAGATGAGGTCATTGAAGCCCAGAGGGTAAACTCGTTAAGTCTCAATGACAAAGGGGTTGACCCTTTACCGAACGATATAACAAGTACCTTACAATTACATTATTAAAAACGGGCTATTCTTGATTTTTGTAGGCCTGTCCTATTGGTTGTCAAGACGGCTGCCGGTAGACGAGAAAACAAAATTAGAATTCCTTTCGATAAATTGTCCAACTAAACGATTAATGCTTGGACTGAGATTACTAAAAGTATTTAGAAAAAGTATCTAGTATGTCTTTCACATCTACCTTTATTCCTTTACAGGAGAATACAGAGTTATACTGCAGTGAATGCGGTATACTCATAACACAGAAGCAGTACATATTCAGTATGTCTGTTGATGGGCCTTTAGCATCATACGTTAATGAAGGAGGCTTTGTACACGAGACACTGACAGTCACCGAGTCTTATAATCTTAAGAAATCTGGTCGACCCACTACAGAGAACTCATGGTTTCCAGGGTAATTGAAATAGTACACCATTATAAAAAATATATATTATCTTTTTTCTCTTTCCTTTAGTTATCAATGGACTATATTGTATTGCAGTAGGTGCAGGGATCACAAGGGATGGAGTTTTGATGCTGTCAAGAAAGATCTCGTCCCGCTTAAATTTTACGGCCTGCGGAGACCGGGTCTTGTGTTCTCAGTCAAAAAACCCTCAGAAAACGAGTCTTGAAGAAGAATAAAAAGATGTAATCACTTTTCATTTGTAACATTGTCATTGTTGTTAATGTTTTTTATTAGAAGAAGAATATAATAATAATGCTAAAAATAAAACACTCAACTATATATTATAATGAGCATCTAATTGTTATATGACGACACACAATTTGTAATACTTTAGTGCAGCATATCACATGTGGGCACCAATAGTCATTGCATTATCATCTCCAGCACTCTCTTCTAGTGACGTATTTCCTCCACTTCTCTCCCTTGAAGGTGAAGGGTCTCTTGCAGAAAGAGTCGAAAAGGTTTGTCTCTCGCTCGAGTCAAGGTCGCTGCCCCAAGGGAGACCAATGATCATAGCTTGATCGCATATGGAGAGGTAGGCTTGATCACGGTGGAGTATAGCACCAAATAAATATGGCTGGAAGACAAAGAGGAAAACAAGCTTGCTAATAACGTTAAAAGTCCAAGAGACAGTAAGTGGTTACTTTTTCTCTGCCTTTGACTGTTACTTCAATTGACATGCCACTGCCTGGTAGAACTGCAAAAGGTTTAGCCTAAAATTGAACAGTCTAATTATCATAATCTATGGTCTCATAAATGATAATGCTCATTTAATGTTTTTAATAGTATGATACATGCAATAGGGGTATATCAACCCCATTCAAAAATTGGATAATATTTGGTATCAAGAGTAAATGGTATGAAAAGTAGCAAAGAATGCCATTTAATGCTTTCATTGCCAAGTCTCAGTTTTATACACAGTTATTTGTAAAAGCTCTCATGGATTGGACACAATGTGGTTAACACTCATCTACTTGTGTAAACTGTGAAGTGTACTCTCATAACTCACTTTGCATATCTTGCTAATATCACCCAAAGAAATGGTAAACCTATCAGCATTGTCATTAGGTCTCGGTGACCTCTCAAAACATAGAAAGCTGCAAAAGGTCACATGACTATCATGTGATGGCATTACCTGTGTGTAAGGAATATGCGTCCTTGCTTGGAACCAGTGAGTGGATGGTCCTTGTCTAACAGTGTGCACCTTTTACCTGACCTCCAACCTGTGATAAAATGAAAATAATTTTAAAGCTTATAGGAATAAGCTCAAATTTGTATTTTTTCTCTTTCTCACTTTCAAGTGGTGTCTCTTCAAATGATAATTGAAATCTTTCACAAAATGAGGTGTCCCTAATTGAGATAGTAGAAGAGGAGCTCGTTAGAGAAGACAATTCACTGCCACTTTCACAGTGTTCACGCTAAAAGAGACAGAGAAAGTTAATAAATGTGGGTTCATTTTTTCTTTCTCTCTCTCTCACTATTTCATCTTCAGTCATTGACTGGAGGGTTATGACATCTTTGTGAGTTGGTAATGACCTCCACATTCGTGCCAAGCCATCATATTTCTTTTTCACATTTGGATACTTTCTATAAATATTATCAACTATGAACAACTTGAAACCAATACCTAAACCTGAGAAGAGAAATGAAAGTAAAACAGTAATATCTGAAGTCTGCAATTAATTGTGTGCATTAACTTTATAGGAAATTCAGCATTTTTTTTCTTTTAGCTATTACTGAAATTATTCGGCTTTAATTTAGCATTGTAATAACCAGGGTTTCCCACAGGATTTTGGCATAGTGCTCATGCAGCTTCTTTTCAGTGGCTGTACTATTATTAGTAACACGGTAGTGTTGCTAAGTAAGATTGAAACTGGTTGCCATGGCTTTTGCAGTCTTGTAGTACAGGGTATTTCGACAAAAATGACAAGGAGAGAATTCTCCATTTTTAATAATTTTTTTCTAATACATATAGATGTTCTTATGTTGTGTAAAAAAATTTGAGCTGATTCTAATCAAATTTGGATTCTTTATGAGTTTCTAAAGTTGCTCCAAATGCTTTTGAATGCTTGTCAGCTCATGAAGCACATGCTGTTTAGCTCACTTAGCATGCTTTGTGGGAGACCCTGGTAAAGACCCCTTGCTAAATTTATTAAATTAAAACATGCAACTAAAAGTGAGTTCAACAACTATTAAGTGATTTCTGTACCTGCTATTGTCATTGAATAGTCATTAGGTATGAACAGTGTTGCTATGAAAGCTCCACACAGCATTGTGTACACCTTACGAGTTGACTGAGGCTGATACCACTCCAACAAACTAAAATATACATAATAAATAAATTAGATAATAATGACTCACTTTTGCCCTTTCTCAAGATTATCAGAAACAGTTTCTGATGTATTCTGTTTAAAGTAAAAGAAGAGGTTTTAAGAAAAAATTTTGATAGACTAACTTGAACTCTCTGTCCAATATGCTTCATTAGCTGAAACTTATCACGAAGTGTTTCAGAAGTATCATCCTAAAAAATAATGTATTTTATATTTCTTTCCCATCCTTCTCTCTCTCTCACCTCACTTCCTCTTGCTGGATGAGACCCAAACCCAAACTGTTCCGTGAGGCCACTGGAATGGAATTATGAAAACATGGGAATGAATCTCAAGCTTACGTTGTACGAAGATAGTTTAGAGATAAATAAATGATAGCAAGTAGTAGGAGGCATTGGATTAACCAGCCATTCCATACACAATACATGTACAACTTAAAAGAGAGAGAAAGAGGATCATGATAGGTGACATTAGTAATATAGTTCACTAGTTCTCTTACTAAAAATATGACCAGGGTTAGTGATGGGTTCTTCCAATCCTTTATGGCAATCAATGTGTCAAGAAGATCTAGATAAGGTTTACTGGATACTCCTACATAGAAATACTTATATCATTGAAAGTTTTAATCAGAATCAGCAGTCAAATTTATAATAATAATAACTAAAATAATGATAAATAATCTTACTTAATCTCTGCAGGTTTTCTCTTAATCTGAAACAGAAAGTGAATTGTTGACAGTTTTTGTTTATTGTTTACTAACAGTTTATATTGCAATGGAGCCTCTTTCGCTTCTTCTTCCTCAGTTTGTGAGTCATCAGTAAAATCATACAATATCCCAAATAACTATAAAATAAAATAAACAAACAAATAAATATAAATAAACATAAATAATGATATGCTACTAACATTGTCTTTGATTCTATCCCACCATCTTACATACCTTGACGGTCTGGAAGAAGCTAAAAATACAATAAATACATAAATGAATAAATAATATCAAATTACTAATGTCAGTGGGTATGGTTGGTTGAGATGAGACACTTTCAAAACCTTCTCTGGTAGTTGACATTGACAAGTCCCTCCCTCTGTAAGAACCATATCTATCAAAATAAAATATAAACACACACGCAAAGTTCTAGAATTTCCTAAACTTTTTAGTTTTGGCGGCAGTTGCTTCCTGACTCTTTGCCTCCCCACTCTCCATTGATTTAAGTTTCACTGATGGGAAAAGAGAGGGAGAAAGAAAAGTTTGAAAGAAAGATTTTGAGCGGATGGTCTTGTACTTTTAAGTTCTTGGTTATCAATGAGTGCTGCTGTCAGTTGATCATGAAGGTGTTCCATTTGTTGCTCATATACCACTTTATCTGCTTCATCCCATACTTTCTCTAATGTAGAAAGAGTATCCTCATTCTTTTCATCACAGGCAGATAATCTGAAGGGAAGACATTTTTAATATAAAATTTCAGGTGCATTTTTGTACTTTTCTGCTTCTTCAATGCCAATGGCTTCATACTTATCTTCTACATCGACCAATTCATCTTCATCTCCTTCTTCCCTAGTGTATCTTAGACTGTCTCTCTCTTTCTCTTTTCTACGAGCTATCAGTGCCCTTCTGATCATGATGAACTGAATAGTCACAGTCACAATGAATCATCTAGCCACACCTTTTTAATGAGCCACACCCATTTTTATGAGCCCCACCCTAATTTTTTGCTGTTTTTCTGCTGTCTGCCTTGTTCTTTCTCACAATGTCATTCTCTACATTAAAAAAAGAAGAGGAAAAGTCACAATCTATCACATTACCAGTTCTTCTGGATGGTCTAAGTGAGTTGGTAGAGTGGGAAACATTCGGTGGTTTACTGGGAGTTCCAATTAGAGACATTGATAGAATTAAAGCAGAGAATAGTACCAGTGTACATAGCATGGTACTCCACCTTCTTGATTACTTGGTGAACCACGTCAAAGACCTGTCTTGGAAGAAAGTGATTAAAGCATTGGAAAAGATACCAAAAGAGAAGGATTTGGCTGAAAAGTTGTCGAAAATACACTTACAACCTCAAGTTATCGGCTCATCTCAAAAAATCATTTCACTGAAAGATAAAGAAGAGTTTGCTCTCACATTTAATGGTATTACAATAAAGTTTGCTAGGTTAGTCTTCAATATAAAGAAGACATTAAAGAATGAAGCTGATTTCGATGATGTACTTTCTTTTGCTACCACTCTTCAAGTCATATCTAATCCTCCACCTGTCAACATTAGAGAGTTGTTTGATTGCCTGCAACCACACTATTGCTTCATAAGGTATAAAATATTGGAAGTGATAGTGTTTGAATTCATTAAAAAGACAATGGAAAAGGATATGGAAAAGTATCGTGAAGCACAAATGAATTGGCTGGAATCTACAACAATAAAAGAGTTCAAAGAAGCAGTTGAAAAAGCTGCTAGTACCGAAGCAGTCAATCCATCACCTAACCAATGTCTCATAGTGCTAAGGTTAGAAGGTGAGTGGTTGAAGGTAACTTTGAATAATCTTTTAAAGCTACTGGAGTACCTCTTTGGGAAGGAGAGTTCAATATTGACAAGATTAAGAATTAAAGAGGGATCTGTTTTAGTCTGTCTTTTTGCTTCTCAATCAGAAATACTTTCCCTACTAGCATTGTGTTGTAAAAAATACAATGAACTTGCCTTCCTTGGCATTCTAAGTATTCAGTTTGGAAATATCCTTCTGTCTGTTTCATCACTTTTATGCCAGTGCACATATTTTACGTTTGAAATAGTACTGGTAAAATCAATAAGGAACTTTCAAATTCACCAAAGCCTGTCATTAACTCAGTGTTTATTAGATATTGGAGCTGATCCTAATAAAGAATATGAAGTTAATGTGAAAGTAAATGCATTGATGATGGCTGCTTTA